CGTGCCCGAAGGCCTCCTGATGCCCCTGCCCCGGGCGATGACGTTCATCCAGGCCGCAGCCATCCCCGAGGCCTGGTTAACAGCCTTTCAGCTGCTGCATTTTGTAGGTGAGAGGCGTGCTGGTGACTGTCCCGCCTTCCTGTTAGGAAATCCTCTGTCCCTGGCCTTCAGCTGAACGCTGCTTGTCTTGGAGGAACCTCTTCTCTGTCGCCTCCTTCACCTAGGTCAGAATCTGGTATGCCAGACCCAAATCCTGAAATCTTCACCACATCACCCCAGTCACAACTTATCATAGAATCATAGGATCATAGAATCATAGAATCATAGGGGTTGGAAGGGACCTCGAAAGATCATCCAGTCCAACCCCCCTGCCAGAGCAGGGTCACCTAGAGTACATCACACAGGAAGGCGTCCAGGCGGGTTTTGAATGCCTCCAGTGAAGGAGACTCCACAACCTCTCTGGGCAGCCTGTTCCAGTGCTCCGGCACCCTCACAGGAAAAAACTTACTCTCCTGATTGCATATTTACTTGAAGGATATGGGAAGATGGTTGGTTTTCATTTTCATCTGTATTTCTCAGCTTGAAAGGCAATTTCCATTAAGCCTAAACCCTGAAATAACTTACACGTTCTCCACGCAACTTAAAACACATCCTGCTTCTGAAGGTTTGACTTTGCTGCCAGCATGACTGTTACCCTGAACTTTCTCACCAGTTGCCTGTGGATCTACAGTAGACACTTCTCACACCTTGCTTCACAGAGACATTAATTGTAGGTAAAATCTTCTCTGAGCTGATTGAAAACAGACATAAGTTCACATTCTTCATTTTGAAAATGTGCTGCCAAGTAACAGTAACACTTGCCACTTGCCAGGGTTTGCTGACAAATATCCTATTACCCTGAACTTTCTCACCAGTTGCCTGTGGATCTACAGTCACAGAAGGACACTTCTCACACCTTGTTTCACAGAGACATTAATTGTAGGTAAAATCTTCTCTGAGCTGATTGAAAACAGACATAAGTTCACATTCTTCATTTTGAAAATGTGCTGCCAAGTAACAGTAACACTTGCCAGGGTTTATCCTCAGCTGACAAATATCCTTCTACCCTCTTCAGCAGTAGCACCTAAAAGCTCCACTAAAGAGTAGAAGTTACAAACTTTCTTCACTACAAGAAAATTATTCACTTTGAGCAGTGTTGCTTCCTGGGGGAATAAGGACCACGTCTCCAGGACTATTCAGGGCCTCACCTCCCATAGCAATCAGGGGAACACAAATAAATGTGTTAGGGCACCTGGTAGGTGGTAAAATGATAGGCAGAACTGGTCCTTAATGTTACCCAGAGTTTCTGGTACTTCTCCATTGTTGAGTGCCTGATTTCTCAGGGTTCACATCCTCTGGGTGTGTTTTCTGGTGGTGGCAGTGGTCCCAGTATAAAAAGGCTGACTGCACTCACCTAAGCAGCTTGGTGATGGATGCCCAGAACTGGACAGGGCTGAGCTAAAGTCACTCCCCTGCAGTGATGGGAGTCCTGTTGGTACACTGCAAACTGTGTTAGTTCTGCATTTGTTTCTTTTATGAAAGATACAAAGATGTCAACAAAGCCCACTCAGGGACACAACTGTCAGCTTCCCCTTTGGTATTTCCCACCCTGATGATGTTCTAAGCCAAAGGTGATGCCGGAAGGGTAACCGGGTGTCCTTGCACCCTCCTGCAGGTAAAATACAGAAGGGTGAGAGGGTGTTGATCCACGCTGGAGCCAGTGGGGTTGGGATTGCAGCCATCCAGCTGGCGAGGCTGGCACAAGCTGTGCCCATCGTGACAGCAGGATCTGAAGAGAAGCTGAAAGCCACCGCAAACGCCGGAGCAGCGGCGGGCTTCAACTACAAGAATGAAGATTTCAGTGAGAAGGTCTTGGCGTTCACCCAAGGTAAGAACCCCTCCGTGAAGGACACTGTAACAGCTGGGGAGAGTGTGTGCCTCCTGATTCCTCATCTCAGCAGAAAGAGCTAAATAAGAATCGCAGGACTGATGCTGTGCCTATAAAGGACAAGGTTTTAATTTAGTCTGAAATTATCCAACCTCTAATGCAGCCTGACGACATCACTGAAATCTTTTGTTTCTACTTGAGGTTCCGGTGTAGATGTTATTTTAGATTGTGTTGGTGGCTCATACTGGGAGAAGAATCTCAGCTGTCTGAGTACTGATGGGAGGTGGATTATCTACGGATTGCTGAGTGGAGGTGAAGTACACGGAGATCTCCTGGCAAGGCTGCTTTCCAAACGAGCGAGCATCCACACGAGTCTGTTACGCTCACGAGACAAGGAGGCAAGTGATGGGTATCAACAGTGGGCACACTTTGGTCATAAAACGGATCACAGTTTTGATACCACTGCTAATGCAGAATCTAACACAACATTACCAAAAATAAGCACCGCCTTGAACTGTTACTACGTGCTTTGGAAAGTATTAAAAAATTAAGTAGTAATTTGCCCTTTCTACAAGTGATACAAACAATAAGAGGAAACAGCTTCAAGTTGCACCAGGGGAGGTTTAGGTTGGATATTAGGAAAACTTTCTTCACTGAAAGGATTGTCAAGCCCTGGAACAGGCTGTCCAGGGAAGTGATGGAGTCACCATCTCTGGAGGGATTTAAAAGATGAGGTGTGGGTGAGGTGCTTGGGGACATGGTTTAGCAGTGGATTTGGTAATGTTAGGTTAATGGTTGGACTTGATGATCTTAAAGGTCTTTTCCAACCTAAATGATTCTATGGTTCTGTCCATGGTGCAATACATAATATTCTCAAGAATGTCATCAGCTTGAGTTTAATTGGTTCTGCACTGAGCTTATACCACTTGTTGGGAGAATTTCATTCAATTAAATAAGAATTAATCTAAAAGTTTTCTTCTTGTTTGTTTGTGTTTTACACCTGTCAGGTGTTTACATATCTATCTCACTCTGTGAATGTCAGAAAGAGCCTCCCTGGAACTGTGCACATTTTGTGTGCTGTGCTTTGAGATACCTCTGTGAACGAAATGATTTGCAATAATCTCCAAGATGTTTTCTTTTTAAATCCAGTACAAGGAACGCCTGGTGAAAGCCTTCACAGAAGACGTCCTGCCATATTTTTCTGGAGGAGCCTCCCCTCACCTCCAACCAGTTGTTGACAGTGTTTACCCTCTGCATAAGATTGCAGAGGCTCACAGGATGATGGAAGAAAACAAGAACATTGGCAAAATCGTCATCGAAATGCCTGCTTCATCTTAAAGGAAGGATGGCTGCCCTGCTCATTGCTGGGACAGAATCATTAGGGGTGTTTGACAAGCAGAGGAGCTGCCCCTTCTGGTTCCAAATCCAGAAAGATTTGTTGTGGGAGGATGCCAAAAAGGAAGGGTAAGGCAAACCCTTACAGGACATGCTTAATAAAAAGGTTTGCATTGCAGCTAGGGCGTTGTGTCGTGAGTAAGTCACAACCTGGCAGTGGGACAGGCCTGGAGAAGAGTGGCTGGAAA